AACCTGTGGCCCACTCTGGTCTCCCAGGCTGTCCCCAGGCCTGCCTCCAGGCAATTATTCCCGAAGTTGTGTAGGAGCTGGCAGGCAACAGAGGGAAGCTGGGTGTGTGTCTGGTTCTCACTAAGTCAGACCTAACCTGACCAGCCTTCCCTCCACCGGCCCTGTTTCTTTCCCATTGCCTAGATACCAGGCTGAGGGACTGAGTGAGAAAGATGGCACTAGAGTGGGGGACGAGGCTCAGAAGGAACCCAGTTCTGTCAGGGGTAAGTGGAGAGGGAAGTGTTCACTGGCAGGAAAGCAGGAGGCTCAGCCCAAAGGATCAAGGGGAAGGAGTCCCACCTCCCCTAGTTTCCTCCCTGTAATACCTGCTTCCCTGAAATGCTCAGGAAAATAGTGTTTCCAGAACTACAGCCCTTTCCTCTCATGGGGTAAGACTGCACAGTAGCTGGGAAGGAAGACATCTGAAGACATCTGATTTCAGTCCTGTCAAAAGAGCCTAAACCAGGCATGATGATGCACACCTATAATCCCAGCTATTCAGGAAGCTGAGGCAGAAGGATTCCAGTTCAACCCAAGCCTGTGCAACTTAGTGAAACCCTGTCACAAAATAATAACAATAATAATAATAATAATAATAATTTTTAAAGGCTCAGTAGTAGAATGTTCTTCAGTTTAATACCTAATACCAAAAATAAATAAATAAATGCAAGCAGGCAAGCCTGGATTTGGATTTGTTTTATGTGGTCCCAAGGAACCAAACCAGAGCCATGCATTAAATGCATAGAAGACACATAATAACTCAATATGAAGAACTTTCTGAGCATCAGGACTGGTCTAAGATGACTGGGTTGCCTTATGAAGTACTGAGTACTCTGGCTTTCAGTGTGTGCAAGCTCAGACTGTCCAGCCATTTGGCTAGAGTTTACAAAAGGGATTCAATCATCAGGAGTTTTGAGGTCCCTTCCATCCTTGACAGCCTATGATTTGGGTCTCAGCCCCTTATACCCAGAGACTATGCTCACTAGCTCTGGGGAGTTTCCTCCAGGGCCTGGCTCTTCTGCTCCACACTCCCTCCAATCTCCTGCACCCTCCTTTCTGGAAGACTTCTGAGAAAGCCATCCAAAATTTTAACCATATTCATGCCCCAATCTCAAGTTATCAAAGGGCACTGGGACAATGGATGCCTCTGGCCAGGAGAACTTGGGTGAGAATGCAGAAAGAGACAAAAGAGTGCATCCCTAAGGGACAAAGAACTTGGAGATTGCACCACTAAGGGCATGTCCCAGCTAGGAGGGGCAGGAGCTGTGGGAGCTGTGGGAGCTAACACAGAGGGAAGGTTTAAGCTACTTAGTGCGTCAAATCAAGAATAATTCTATGATGTTGGAAATGAGGGCCTTCCCTGTAACCCTGGCATGAGCTCCCAGAATATATCTCAAAGTGTAGAAGGGGAGGTGGGGTTGCCTTTGAAAGCAGTCTTGCACAGGATGAGACTTCTGGTCTTCAGAAAGCCGCCCTTTTCCACAGCTGTCCCCCAGGCTCCCGTGCTGCAGGAGTACTAGTTAGAAGGGGTAAGAGTGGGAAACAGCAAGAAACTCTCTGTCCCTGAGCCTCCATGGTGTTTGTATCCACACTTCTCATCTGAGACACCGGCATCTCTCCTCTATAGTCACGTACACAGCTGCCACCCTTTCTCATTCCCAGAGCCCTGTCTAGCTTTGAACTCTGGAAGCCCCTTTTATCCAAGCCAAACCAAAGCATTTTTACTGAGACCAATTAATGGCCAACTGTGACCCAAGTCACGGATGGGGTGCTAAGGTTTTTCAGGGGCACTGGAGGACATCCCAGTTCCCCACTGAGTCAGGGACTTCATGGCTCAACCACCAAGACAGGCTGCTGAGTCACAACCACCTGGAGCTGCTTCTGCAGCAGGTGCGAAGGTTCTGAGACCGCCCCCAAGCCACAGCAGAGCGTCGCGTGGGCACCAGGCACCTGTGGACAGGTAGGGCACAGAGCCCAGTCAGGAGCTGAGCACACATCCCTGGAGGGCCTGCAGATCTGACTCAGTGCGCATGGCTAAGTCACCCACTGGGTTTTCTAGCCCGTCTGAAACTGCCGGGACCTAAAGGGTCCCGGGAACACAAGACAGGAGACTTGGCAGCCCTCGGAAGCTAGTACATACCTTTGTACATAAAATAATACAAAAATAAGGTGTAAAGAAATTAGATATTCATGCAACAAAGTCGGAAATATCTTGGACAAAGCCAGGCACAATGGTGCATGCCTGTAATCCCAGCTACTCTGGAGGCTGAGGAAGGAGAATAGCAAGTTGGAGGCCAGCCTGAGCAATTTAGAGAGACCCTATCTCAAAATAAAAATGTGTGGGGATATAGCTCAGTGGTACAGCACCCTCTGCACAATCAACAGTACCACATCATGCAGGTGTGCACGTGTGCGCATGTGCACACACACACACACACACACACACACAATAGCTTGGGTGCTTTTTGGGGAGGGTGCTTTTTAAAAATACATCTTTATATCACCAAAGACAATGCAACAGCAGTACTTCCATATTTCCCTAACACTGCTCTACTCCTTCGTAGCCTCCTAGATGCCCCAAGACTGGTGTAGGGGGGTGGGGGTGGGGGTGGGGGCACTGCAGAGCTCATTTCCACCTCCATGCATGAGGGGAAAGGAGAAAGCTTCCTTAGCCAAAGTACCCCCACTACCCTACCTCCTGCAGCAAGACCAAGGCTGATTATTTCTGATTCCTGAGCCTGGGGCCCATTAGAGCCTCAAATTCACACCCAATCCTCCCTCTTTCTTTCCCCAAGGCCCCACTGTCACACTGCAATGGGGCTCACTTAAGCCAAGGGACTTCTTTCTGCCATCCTTGAGCAAGAGGAGTTGAGGGTTTATAAAAGATGCCCACATATAGGACCTAGCTGGCCTAAGTGGACCCCAACTGCTCTTGAGAGTGTCCTACTTCCAGGACTTGGGCCTCCGCTGAGGAGTCAAGCTGGTCCTCAAGGCCATGGAGACCTGCACAGGCTTCTCAGGAGTCCTCAAAGAAGGAATCACATTCCTCTTCCACATCATGGGCCAATTCCAGATAAGTTCCTAATGAGACTGCAGCGACCAACCTGGGGCAGCACTGCTTCTCTCCCACACCATCCTCACTTGTTCCAACAGCTGTGTTCTCCCTCCCCCAAAGCCAGGCCTTTAGTCAACCTCGCACTGTCTGGTAAGCAGGCCCTGACCATGCAGTCTCTTTTGTGGACCTTGGGTCTAGCAAGCCCTGCAGATTTGCATTTCCACCAGCAGCAGCTCTAGACTAACGCTGGCCTGGCTTTCACCCCATGAGCATGGCCCATTTTTCTCTGCAAGGGCTGAGGAGTTGGCAGTCCTTTTGTCTCCCTGTCTGCACCTCCACAGGCCCCCCTCTTTCCAGGTCTGAGATGGACGATGTGTGTGCAGAGCTGGGCAAACTCTAGGCTTGCTATGACTTTCCTGGGAAAGAGCCCTCTGAAATGGGTAAGGGCTCATTCTTTGCTGTCTGTAGGTATCAACTAAATAGATGATGCCAGTGTGCCACCTGCAGAAGGGTGCTAGCATCCCTGATGGCACTACCTTGCCTTCTCACCCATCCTGGGCTGGACGCCACATATTTTCAAGAACTTTGGAAGAAGGTTTCTTTGGAGGAAGTTCAAAGACTGCACTTAGGACTACTGGGCAGCGACAGTGAGAAAGTTTTTTTTCAAATACCTGGTGTGGCTACCCCGGTGGTTGGGGATACACTAGCCTTCTCTGGTAGGGAAGGTGGAGGGGGCGCCTGGGGCAGTGCACAGGCCTAGGAAGAGGAAGCACAGGAAGCAGCTTGCTGACTCTCCCTGGGCCCTATGAAAAGAGGACTCTTGCCCGGGGCTCTTGTAACCTGGCATTGTAAACATCTACGACGCTCTCAGCAGCTGTCCTCTGCCTCCTCCTGTGCAGGACACATGGAGGAAGACAAGACTTGGCTCTAAATCTGAGAAATGGAAAAAACCCTGGAAGTTAGGGAGTATGGTGGCCAGGGCACCCAAGGGGAGTCAGCTGGAAACCCTTTCCCCGGTGCACACAAATAAGGGAGGTGACTCCAGTACTGCAAGCTGGTACTCCTGCCTGCTGGGAGGCTGGCAGCTAGGGCCTTTCCAAAAAAAAAGGTGAAGATTATTGTAAAGGCACATTAAATTTGAAGGGAGCACACAGGCAAAGAGTCAGAAGCAGCCTGGCACAAACCAGAGGTTTCCAGAAGCAGGGGCCAAGCCTGCTGTAGTCACTAAGTGCCCGGAGGGTACCTGACCGTGACAGGCACTCAGTAAGGACCTGGATAAGTGAATGGGTCCATAAGGAGCAGTCTGGGGCAGAGTGAGGAAAGTTACAACGAATACAAGGAGCTTTGGGCACCCCCACTTATAGGGACTGAGGAGAGCCAGGCCACATAAATGAGGGGCAGCTGCGTTCAGGCGGGGAGCTGGGCCCTGGGTGTGCCCTAGTGCGGGCAGCGTGGGTGTCTGTGCAGCAGTGCTCCGGGGAGCTGAAGAGGGCTGAGACAGGAGCAGGGAGCCTCAGGCTCAAACAGCGCCCCTCTGCAGAGGGCTCTGAGTCACTGCTGTGAGCCGAGGAAGAGATGTGTCTCAGCTGGCCCAGTCCTCCCGGCTCCACCCACCAGCCCTGGCTCCAGCCCTCCCCACACATCCTTTCTGGCTCTGCCTCAGTGCCCAAAATGCCTCTGAGCCAGGTGCAGGGGAGGTGCAGAGCAGGTACAGAGATGAGAATGCTTAAAGTGGACACCCCAGGGCACCACCTCAGGACAAAGGGCAGTCCTCATTTAGAAGGGACAATCATGAGACAGCATCCTCCCATCCCGTCCCCTGCCCTGTGTATTATACGCCTGGAGTGTATTTTATGCCACCTGCAGTGCCTTGCAGCAGCTGCATCCCCGCAAGAAAGCCAAGCTGTTCCGTAGAGAAGTAGAACAGATTTAATCTGTACATATGAAATGTCTAGGTTAGCAGCAATTATTGACACCCAGAAACTGGGCAAAATCTGTCCCCCGAAGGCACCCCAAGGTCCCTGAAGGCTCCCCCTTTGGTTTACAGAGCTGCTGGCCGGACGTTAGCTTTGCGCTCGGCTTCAATGCAGTACTTCTCAGGAAGGCCGGAGGCTCTGCCGGGAAAATGCAGGGCAAGCGTAAGGAAGCCACTAGATCCAAGAGGAGGCAGGAGGAAGCAGGCCCTGGGTGGGTGGGGCTTGCAGAACCTGGGGATCTGTACCCCAACACTTCCGCAGCTTAACCCGCCAACACTGCCACCCACCTTCCCACCAAGGTTCCAGCATCCTGGCACACAGCTCCCAGAAAGCCAGGGAGACCAGGTCCCCGAACACGCTGCCAGAGACCACGTGACTTCAGAGGGGTGAGCCCGAGTCAGGAGCGCCTCCCTGAGCACCTCTGTCACAGCCCCTCCGTCCCTGAACCCAGGCTGGCTGCTGTGCCATTCTCTTTGGGGAAAAGGAGAGGAGCCAGGGAAGAAAGGGCCCAGCGTACCTCAGCTCTTCAAGTTTCTTCTTCTTGATGTCGTTAATACGCTCCTGCCGCTTCTGGGCCTCCTCTTCGAGGCGCCGGCCCTCCTCGAAGGTGGCAATCCGGTTCTGCACCTGCTTCTGCTGGTTCTCACGCACCTGGCGCCGGAGCTCGTTGGCATGCTGCAAGCGCCCTGTGGCCTTTCTCTCCTCCTCCAGCCGCTCCTTCTCAATCTGCTCTCTCTGAGCCCTGAGGAGGGACGCAGGAGTGGAATGGGCAGGCTGCACCTGCACCGAGCCTGCTGCAGAAAGGCTGGGGGCTGCTTGGCTGGCTCCTCCTTGGGGCCATGCTGTGCAGACCACAGACCCCAGGCTCCAGTGCTCTCCCCTGCTGCAGCTCAAGGCTCAGCCTGAAGGAGGCCACCATGCGCTCCCTTCTCTCTCAACCAGAACTAGCCTGGTGGGCTCGAGACTATACCCTCCCGGACAGCTCAAAAGGGCCCCAGGCTTGGTTAATGCTCTGCTGTCCATGGTGGTAAAATTCTTTGTTTAACAAGGAGCTCCACAGTTAAAGTTTTCACTGGGGCTCTGCAAATTATTTAGCTGGTTCTACAACCAGGATTTCATGCAGTGGAGTTATTGTTGCCACTCTTCCTTCATAACAATTCATAGCTCCTCTCTGGCTTGTTCTAAAACTTACTTCCCCCCTCCATCCCTACCACCCTCTCTTTCTTCCTTCCTTTCCTCTTCCTTCCTTCTGAAACCAGAAAATAAAGGGACAAAAGGCAAAGGCCTGAGCAAAACTAAATAAACTAAGTAAACTAACAGCAAGGTGAAGCCAGGTGCAGTGGCACATGCCTGTAATCCCAGCACTTGAGAGGCTGAGGCAGGAGGATCCTTGCAAGTTCGAGACCAGCCTGGGCTACAAAGTGAGCTCAAGGCCAGCCTGAACTGCATAGCGAGATTCTGTCTCAAAAAGACAAAAAAAAAAAAAAAACAACACCAACTAACAGCAAGTTGCTATAAAGCCTCACAGGAAGCTAGTGAGAAGCAGCAGCAAAGCTACTACGTTTTCACACATACTCTGCTCCTTTTTCTGCCTTCCAGACAGCTGTATGTAAACTTCTGGATTTGGATGCTTCCTTGGTGTCCTCTTGTCCCCTCATCTAGGGATGGCTTTTTTTTTTTAGTTCTTTCTAATAAAACACACCTGTTCATTCCCCTCTGCCTGCTGTATTCTGTCACTTCCTCCTATGTCACCTCAAACAAGAGGAGAAAGAGCTAATAACCTACCCTTCTTCTCTCCCTTCCTTCCTTCCTCCTCTCTTCCTTCTTTCCTTCTGTCCTTCTTCCTTCTTTCCTTCCTTCCTTTCCTTCCTTCCTTCCTTCTCTAACAATAATAACAATAAAAGCAACAAAGAAACAGGTGAGGGGCTGGGGATTTAGCTCAGTGGCACAGTGCCTGCCTGGCAAGCGCGACGTCGTGAGTTCGATTCCCAGTACCGGGAAAAAAAAGAAAGAAAGAAACAGGTGATAAGGTCAGTAATGCTAACTCTATCTAAGGTCCTGGAAAAAGGAAAGAATTTAGTCTGGTATCTTGGTTCTCTTATTGATCCACCTCTAAAAATTCCTCTTAGAAGCCTTTTCCACCAAAATATTTCACAAAGGCAGGCACGGTGGTACACACCTGTGAAGCTAGCACTCTGGAAGGCTGAGGCAGGAGGATTTTAAATTCGCCCAGCATGAGCAACCTAACAACTTAGCAAGACCCTGTCTCAAAATAAAAAATAAATGAAAGGCTGAAGATGCAGCTCAGTACAATCCCCCACACCACACAAGTGTACACACACACATATAACTTCATGGGCCCTGACATCAAAAAAAAAAAAAAAAAAACTACATAGGCTCAAAAAAAACTGAAATTAAATGTGGTCACATCTCAGAGGAAATGTATTCAGGGGCATTTTGAGCTGAATTCAGGATCATTCTCAGTATAATCAAAAATAAAATCCAAAGCCATCTTAGGGAGGCCAGCGTGGTGGCACACACTTGCAATTCCAGCACTCAGGAGGCTGAGGCAGGAGGATCACCACAAGTCTGAGGCCAGCCTAGGCTACATAAGTGAGTTTAAGGTCAACCTGCACTGCATAAAAAGACCCCATCTGAAACAGCAACAAAAAGTCATATTAGGAGGGATCTCTCACCCATTCTTCTCTCATAGGCTCACTCCTATCCCAACAAAGATCCCAAATACACTGCTTTGTCTTCTCATCTCCTCTCACCATCTTCTATGATCCACCACACAGGTGGCATCCTCTCAAACCCCAGCAGCTCCTTCTACCACACAGACACCTCCTAAAATCCCACACCCCCTACAGAGCCCTCCCAAGTTGATCCGATCAGAGTGGCTGGCTTCCTTGCCCTTCTGCACCTGCATACCACACGCGCACTGCTGGGACAGCTCTATGACAGCAGGGTGACTTGTCGCTGCCTCGTCACTGAGCCCCTATGTGTAGCTTAGGTTCCTACGGTGTATCTTCCCCTGAGTGGAGGAGTGAATGTGAAGCAAAGGGCTCTGTATGCCCCAGGGTGATGCGCAGTGGAAAATCCAAGGGGAAGAGCCTGTCACTCTATAGGGTGAGGTCTGTGATTCTGTTGCCAGACTACGTATTAAAAGCATGCAGGGGATTTCAAAAGATACTGACGTTTGGGCCTCACCCCAGCCCATTTAAATCACAAGTTGTAGCGGTGGAACCTTAACATCGACATTTTTGCAAAGGTGCCAGGTATTTCTCAGACCCACGTGGTAGTACAGATCAGTGATCTCTGCTTAGTCAATATGCTGAGAGTTAAAGATGTCCCTCTGTCCAGAAGCAGGAAGTCCATATGTAGGCCATACAGGAGGCCCTGCCTTTCAAGTAAGAAAATCTGGATTGCTGGCTGTGGCAGAGACAGTCTAAGAGTGAAGACGCCCATCGTGGAGGTCACATGGCCTAGAGACACTCGGACTAGATGACAACCCAGGATGGGAGGTGAAGTTGAACTTTTCCAAAGGGCCAGTCCAGCTTTAATAACTGGCTAGTGTGTCTGCTTGAGGCAAACATGCAAAGCAGAGCCAAATGGGTCAGCAAAAGTAAGACCTTAATTTCATTTCATTAATATTTATTAGTGCTGCTAAAGACACGCAGATGTCCAAGGGTACAGAGACCAGGGAGGAGAGGGGAGACATCTGGAAGGCAATCTGGAGCCCAGGGGCAAGATCTCTAGGGGCATTCATGAAGGTGTCTCCTTCATCAAGTGTCCAGTGACCATGGCACAACCCCAAGGGCAGTGAAAGCTATAGAGGCAAAGGGCATCACAGCCAGTGGGAAATACCTATAGGGCCCATCATCCTTTAGAAGAACAAGAATCTGGCTCCGGCAAGGACAGAGGTTCCCCTAGATCTGCTCTGCCTCTGCCAGGGGCCTGGATTGCCGGGTCTGGCATGGTACTAACTGAAGGAGTATCAAGAGCAAAGGCCCACAGCATGCTTACATGGAAGTCAGGCCATCCGTTCAATCTCTACTTATCTGAGCATAACTTAGGCAATTTTCTAACATCCAGATTCAAATTCTGCTTGGCTGCTCTCCTTTTGAAAAATTCTTATCTTACAAAAGCTGCAAGACCCAGAAAAGAAGAGAGTTGTTTCTAGGTTGGCCAGGTCTGGTGGTGGCAGATCTGACTGGCAGAAAATAGAGTATGGAGGGGATCCAGTCGCACCTGTGATTACTGACTGCCATGGGGAGAGTCGGGGCGGTGAGCCATGTGAACGCTTGGCTTCTGCTTAGGTGCTGGGATTATCATTGAGACAAAATAGGGAGCAGAAATAAAAGAAAGAAAAGCTGCCAGGCAGGAAAAATGGACGGATATAAGCAAGCTCCATCTGAACATTAATCTCTAGCACCATTCCTGTGGCATGGCAAGAGCTGTCTTTGTTAATTCCCAATGTCCTCCACAGCATCCAGTGCAAAGCTTTGATTGTATATGATCAGTGCTCATTTGCTGAATCTATGGCAAAGGCCTCCTGCCCTAGTGACACAGCCCTCACTGAATGAAGTTCTTCTCCACCTCTCCTCAAGTCTCTTCTGCTGAAGCTTCCTCCCCAGTTCTCAGGGAGACACGGGAGCAGAGGACCAGATTTACATACAGCTTTTTTTTTTTTTTTTTTGTCTTTTTGAGATAGGGTCTAGCTATGTAGTTCAGGCCGGCCTTGAGCTCACTTTGTAGCCCAGGCTGGTCTCGATCTCGCAACGATCCGCCTGCCTCAGCCTCCCCAGTGCTGGGATTACAGGCGTGTGCCACCATGCCCGGCCTACATACAGATTTACTGCCTTAGGATAAATAGCTCTAACAGTCCTCAAAATCTTAAAAGCACTTCCAGATGCCATTTTCCAATCCTCTAATCACAAACTTCTTGGCTCAAGTGGTTTGAAATATTCCGACCATTTATCTAGTAGAGTGATAGCATCAACATGGTCAAGAGGATGTGGATCTGTCCATTAAAATATCAGAAAGCTTCTCTCTGCCCTCCAACTCTCTCCACTCTCCACCCATCCCTGCTGGACACCTCCTCTCACCCCTCCCACTGCACGGCACACAGGGAAAGCAAATCAAGGTTCCCACTCCCCTCCTACCGGAGAATCCGCTCAAACTCATCCCGGTCCCGTTGCACCTGAACAGCCAGGGTGTGCTCCTTGAAAGCCACCTGTTCCAGTCGACTTTTTCGCAGCTTAGCCTCAGTTTCCACCTTCTTCTGTGCTTTTTCCTTTTCCTTTCTGCGCCACTCTCGGTCTGCAACCTCTTGATTGCGCTTGGCCCGCAAGGCATCCTGGGAAGGGGTGGGGGTGGGGCACAAAAACCTCAGGTGCAGATCAGGTGTCTCTAGAAAGACACCTATTTACAGCTTTATTCAGTCAGCTTTAAGAAGCACGTGGATTTCTCTGAGAACAAATTATTCTAAGAAAGAGCCCAGCATAGAACTTCAGGTTAGAAAGTAGCCCAAGGGGTCACCTTGCCCTTCCACCCCACTTCTTCCCATTCCTTCCCAGTTCCCCAAACACCTCCAGGCAGTCCTGTAATTGCTTCTAATTTTAAAAACCGTTCATGATAAAGATATACAAGTTCCGCTCATGACATAGTTCATTCAGGTAAGGTTGAAAGTTCTTTACATTAAAAAAAAAGAAGAAAGTTCTTTACATAGCAGCCAAACACTTTCTTTGGAAGGTTAAGCACCTGCTGCTTCTTGTTCCCTGCTGCCACAAGCACATGGCAGACGTCATGCATCCACTACTTTATATCTCATGCTTGCGGCCATTTTACAGGCTGCCACAGGAAGAACTATGGGAGAGGTGCAGGCAGAGGAAAGCAGACAAGGAAAGGAGGTCAGTACCTGTTCTGCCTGGTAATCCTGGGCCTTCTCCTGCATGGCCCTCAGGCGGGCGATCTCCTTCTCTTTTTCTCTCCGGATTCTCTCCTGCTCAGCCTCAAACTCTGCTTCTCGAGCCTGCCGGGAGAAAAGGCCTCACTGAATAGTTCTCATTGCCTCGGTCTTGCACAGAGAAATAGTCCACGCAACAAAATTTCTATCATCTTCCCTACCACTTCCCGACTCCTTTTAAGATAGGCAAAATGAGCTTATCAAGTGCATGGACATAAAAAGAGCTAGTGTTTGTAAAATACTTTTTTTTTTTGGCAGTACTGGAGATTGAACCCAGGACCTTTATACTGAGCTACATGCCCAGGTTGGTCTTGAACTTGTGATCCTTCTGCCTCAGCCTTCCACAGTACTGGGCTTACAAGTAGGCAGCACCAAGCTGGCTTAAAATGCTCCATTGTTTACAAAAGGTTTTCCTGTGCATTATCCCAGAGTTCTCACAGCTCACAAGACAGATATTACAGATGAGGAAACTGATATTCCTAGAGATCAAAGGTCCTGCCTGAGATCACCTAACCAGTAGAAAGTCAAACAGGATTTGAACCCAGGTATCCTCCTGAGCACAGTTTTTGTATCAGTGCAGATAATTTTCACGTTTCATGGCCATTGGACCCAGAAGCAACTATGGCTCCGACTGTCTTATAAAGTGCAGCAGGTGAAGGTTATCTCATTAATCCCTGGGCAAAGGGCCAACCATGCTCTGGGCTATCCCACAACGGTTGGCAGATACCTACAGAGTGAACCATCAAAATTAGTTCCTTTTACTGCCTCTCTGAAAGAATGAGTATATCCTAAAGTTTCCCAACCCCATTACTTGAGCAATAAGACTAAAGGCAGAGGTTGAGCGAATATGTGATCTTCCCAACAAGAACCTCCCTTAGGCCTCATTCTACCTGCCCAGACTCCTGGGCAACCCAGTGGGCTGGCTACTTGACAGCCATGCTCTGTTCTGTCAAGCTGTGTCAGCTTTTAGCTCTTCAGGGGTAGCCCTGGCCACAACCACAGACACCACTGAGAGGGGAAGTGACTGTGATGTACAGTCATGTGTCACATCACATGGTGATCAAGGCCAGACTGCATATACAAAGGCGGTCCCCAGTGGTTATGTCATCTAGTGACACTGTACCCTCTACGTACTGTTAAGTTCAACAATGATGAAATCACCTAGCGACACCCTTGTAAGAATGGGTGCTATCATTAAGTGATGCGGGACGGACTGTACTGAGGTACTTACAGTGGACTGTAGACACACCCATGTATCTCATCCCTTTGCTAGTCACTGGCCTCGCCCAGCTCCACCTGGGCAGAGTCCTTTCCATGGATAAAGACAAGATATATCCCTCCTGATCAGAAACCCACAGTTATTGCTCATCACTGCACCCTTTCTGTCCTGCAACATCTCTCAGCTTTCCAACTGCTCCCAGCTCATCCCACCATCCTCACTTCCCATGAGGACCACCTCAGACTCTGCTGCAGCCAGCAGACTTGTTCACCAACTCCTACGCATAATGAGCTCATTATCTCCACCTTCACTCACACAGGGAAGTAACTGCTGAGTTCTGTACGCAGGACTAGGTGCTCTGCCTGGTCTGATACTAGACACACATTGCAGCGTTCAGTATATTTTGAATCAATCCATGGCTACACCCCACAATGGTTGTAAAGATTAAAGGAGGTAACACAAATGAAACAACAGCACAGAGTATATGTATATGCTTAATAAATGGTAGTTATACAACAATCAAGGGCTGGGGATTTAGCTCAGCGGCAAAGCGCCTGCCTGGCAAGCGCAAG